AAGGTCCTGCGGGAGGAATAACCTCATGCACCAGTGGACACTGTGGCTTGATCGGCTGGAAAGCAGCTTTGCAGAAAACTGTCTGACTGTCCTGTTGTTGAACATGCCAGACACATTGTGTCCTTGCACACAAAACCCAAATGGCATCCTGGGCTGCTGGAGGCAGTGCATTGCCATTAGGTTGAGGGCATTCCTTCCCCTCTACTCAGTGTGATAAAACCACTCTGGAGTGGGTGGTCCAGCTCCTCAGAGTAAGACAGACATGGACAGACTGCAGCTAGTCTAGCCAAAGGACCAGGAAGATGATGAAGGGATGGAGGTGTCTGTCACACAAGGAGAAGCTAAGAGGCCTGGGATTGTTTAGCCCTGAGAAGAGAAAGCAGGGAGAGGGCAAGGTGGTGATGTTGGTGTTGTCAATGGTAATGGGAGTGTGTGATGAAGATGGAGCCAGATTCTTCTCATTGGTGCATCCTGACAGGACAGAGGTCATGAACCCAAACTGAAATAAAGGAACTTCAATTTAAATATAAGAAAACAGGTTTTGGAAGTGATTAAAGCTCTGGTACAGCTTGCCCAGAGCGATTGCAAAGTCTCCATCCTTGGAGGTACTCAAAGCCTGACTGGACACAGCACTGAGCGACCTGCTTGAGCAGAGTGGGTTGGAGTAGATAGTCTCTAGTAGCTCCTCACCTCAGCCATTTGGTGCTTCTGTGGTGGTGCACCATTTCAGTCTTTGAAGCTGGTCATCTATGAAGATAGGTACAGTTACTAAAAACTAGAAGCCAATTCATTTTATTTTGACCCAGTTGGTAAACAATTGATAGAAACTCAAACTTCTCCACAATTTTGATCATTTCTTCTTTACGTATTCAAAATGTCAACAAACTCTCAGCTTTCTCAGACACTGGTTTTTACTTACCAGTTAGCTCCATTAAATATGAAGAATCCTGATTTCAAAACCAGAATATAATTTGGAAGTAAGCAGTGGTTTATCATACTGTTGTGCAACAACTGCGTAGTAACATCTGCTTTTTTGTTTGTTTTCAGTGTTATTTTTAAAGAAGGATCTTACATGTAAGCAGTAAATGGGCATGTAAAATTTAGCTAATATCAATTTCCTTGGTCAGCCAGGCAGTGGATAGGAGGTGTGTCAATGCTGTGTCCTCTGCACTCATGCCCTTCCAGCAAAGAGCAGGCAGTCTTTATTATGTGGTTTTCTTCTTTTCAACCCTTCCCTTTATCTCTGTTGACTCACTGTAAGGCCCAACCAGCATTCTCTAATCCTTCCTGGGAGACAGGATCGTCTTCCTTCCCTACCTTATGTGTAACTTGTGGCTCCCACTGCAACTGTTTACCTGCTTACACCTTGTCACTCTTCCTGTCATTAACACCTTTGTTCCTACTCATTTGTGTGAGGCCAAGCAAAGACAGAAAAGTGTTAATATGGCCAAAATAAGAGAGAATTTAGACTTGCTGTCACAAGGGTTTCTAAATTTGCCTTTTTTTTTTCCCTAAGTGCAGTTAAAATCAAGCTAAATAGATTGGAGACCACATAAGGCCTGACAAGTGTTGATGCTAGGTATGTGCAACAATAATTACAAAGGCGTATAAGTAGTACAAAAACCCATCATCATTATTATTATTATTAGCAGTTGGTAACCTTTCTTGCTTTGGTTTGCATCAGAAAAATCAATTTTATTGTTTGATGATTGGTCAGATACCAAAACGAGATTTGTCTTGTGCCTGAACTAATCTTAGTTTCCTGGTGTCCTGAAATAGACTCTTGGCAAGGAAAAACCATGTCATAAAGCAAACACAACTGCATTTTTCTTGTATGAGGGGATGGGGAAGATATAGTAGAGCCTTAAGACAGTAGCGGGTCATTAACTAAGAGTGCTTTGCTCTCTGTGTAATGATTCTACTCCTCCACAAAGCATCTCGAACTAGGAAAACGTCCATGAATACTTGGGCTGCTTAGGCAGTTAAATGTATCAGGGCTGTTCTTATGGCCTGGGGCTAATGGGCTTGACAGTTGGCCATAGCACAAGAAGCTTTTGGTTCTTGCAGAGTAGTTACAATCCAGCTACAAAAATTTGCATATCATGCTGACTCATGAACCAGTGTTATGTTGGTCTAGGCCAAACCCAAGCATGCAAGAGGTTTGTAGCTGTTTTGCAGTTGATACTAGGAAGAAGAGTTGTCCATGAGCCGGCAGCATGTTCTTGTGGCCAAGCAGGCCAATGGTGTCCTGCTGTGCATTAGGAAGAGCATTGCCAGCAGGTTGGGAGAGGTGATCCTGCCCCTCTACTCGGCTCTAGTGAGGCCACACCTGGAGTGCTGTGTCCAGTTCTGGGCTCCTCAGTACAGGAGAGACATGGAGCTGCTGGATGGGTCCAGTGGAAGGCAACAAAGATGTTTAAAGGACTGGAGCATCTCTCTCTGAGATAGAAAGGATAGGCTGAGAGAGTTGGGTCTGTTCAGCCTCGAGGGACAGCTGGGACAGGACCTCATCAATGTCACTCAGTATCTGAAGGGAGGGTGTCAAGGGCATAGAGCCAGGGTCTTCTCGGTGGTGCCAGGCAACAGGACAAGAGGCAATGAGCAGAAAGTGATGCACAGAAATTCCACCTGAACATGAGGAAAAACTTCTTTGCTGTGCAGGTGACAGTGTGCTGGAACAGATTGCCCAGAGAGGTCGTGGAGTCTCCCTCACTGGAGATATTCAAGAGCCATCTGGACACAATCCTGTGCCATGTGCTCTAGGATGACCTTGCTTGAGCAGGGAGGTTGGACCAGGTGACCCACTGTGGTCCCTTCCAACCTTGCTTCCAGTCCCATTCTGTGTGAGAACGTTATATTACCTGCTTTGTCATAGTTCTGGGGAATATAAAATGTATCACCATTGCCATTCTTTGGTCTAATGATGATACACAGTGTGATTAATGTCTATGTATCCATGCATTGAGGTATTACACTTTGTTACTTTATCATTGAATAAGTAACAGTTTAAAGTTAATTACAGTGAGCTTTATTTTTCTTCACCGAAGTTGTTGATGAAGGATTTCCATTTTGTGCATTCTTACTCCTGAATTAACTTATTCCTTGTTAGCTTTTAAACTTGAAAAAAATCCCAAGCACTTTGAACTTTGATCTCTTTTGTGAGTCAAAACCAGAATTTTCTGTAAGTTCTGGTAAAGTTTGTGTGTTTGTTTAGGTGTAGTGTGTAGCAGTATTCTTAAAAGAACAAACTGATTGTATTGTCTTGCCAGTGGTGGCTAAATGGTTAATTGTGTAGCCTTCAGGGAGCAGTTTGCCTTGGAGAAGATTGGAAGGTGTGCTGATCTTCAATTAATAGCTATGTGGAAGCTCTTATGGTTGCTGCATTTGAGGTAGGCTACTCACTCCTTCGTGGAAGCTGCCTCAGTTCTCCTGAATTTCTCACACTAGGTTTGAAGTGAGAAGCATTTATTTTGGGCAGTCAGTGTTGAAAGTTACACCACATCTTTGTACTCTGCCTTGCAGTTTGGTACTTTTTTCATGTCTGTATCACAGGCTACTTTTGAATTTATTTTTTCCTAACTAGGGCAAAATGAGAGAATCACTGTAGTACAGCAAGTGGTCCAGTATTGAAATAAACTTTCCATCCTGGTCAAGTATTTTAGTTTCTGAGCACAATATAAATGCTGTGTCTTCTTTTTTTCTTTACCCATTTGGTAGTGGATACCCTGTTTTCAAGAAAACTAAATGGAAAATACAGACTTGAACGCCTTGTTCCAACTGCAGTCTATCAACATATGAAGATGCACAAAAGAATTTTAGGACACTTATCTTCTGTATACTGTGTAACCTTTGATCGGACTGGGAGGCGAATATTTACTGTGAGTACAAAACCTTTATTTTTGTAGATTCTCTTTTAAAAATACACATAATACGTCACCTAATTGTTTCCTAAAGCTGAATATGCTAAATATACTGGTTATGTATGAAGAGCAGATAAAAACTTTACTGCTGATACTCTCATATTTGCCTTTTAATAACCATGCTGGTTTGTGTGTGAAAATAGTTGTGGCAAATGTGTCTTTAAGGCTAGGTGTGATGGTGATTGCTGAGCTCTGTAGTTTGGTGAGAAAACTGTTTCTTTTTGGGGGAGAGGATTTACCCTATGTAGATTCTTTCTTCTGGACTTCTTTTCTCTAGCAAAAACATAAGCAGAATAATGGACCACCACCACAGAATTTGATTAGGAAGCCAAGTGGATAACCAGTTTGTAAATAAATAGTCTTTTGACTCTTTTCTGTAACTTTTGTTACATTTAAAGCATGACTTTTGCATTTAACAGTTTGGTGCTACACTTGCATTTGGCACAGCATGTTGAAGAAGACTATAGAGCTGAAGATTCAGGTGGTGTATTGTAACTAATGTTGGTTCACTACAAATTGTCTTTTAGAGATTCTAGGAAATTTTTTTTTATATACCAGTGTTTTTACTATTTTTTACTATTTGCCTTTTTTTTTTATTGCTGTTAAGACATAAATATTAGACAGATGTCTGAAATCAGTACTGGAACTGCAGGTTTCCCAGGAAATGGGGTTTATAAATTCAGATAGATGTCAGTGTAATTTGGTTGACTTGGCAAGTAGTCAATTTCAGTAGAGACAAAGATCTCATAAATACATACCTTGTGCCAGTCTGGGCTGCTTTGGCTGCATTTATTGCCTTCTCACAAACACTGCCTGTAATTGATACCTGTGTGGATCCAGGAGCTTGGTTGTGTCCTTTTTAACCTCATGGCAGATAACTCCAACAGTGCAGGTAGGAGTGCAGTTCACGTTTCCTACTTTATATATTGCAGTACTAACTTCTAAAATTATTTCCAGGCAGTTGTAAACATAATTTACCCTTTTTACCACGGATGTTTTGCTTTGTTGCATGAAGAGATGTGTGGTTGCAGGCATGAGAGACGCTTGTAGTGTTTCGAACAGTCCCGTTTATTTGTTCGCTTGTTACTTCAGGCATTAGCAGCGACTCTTTTTCAATTTTTTTAGCTTTCATCAGCAAACTAAGTCATAGGCATTGAAATCTTGTGTCCTGCAGTTTGTCTGATTGAGCTGTCAGGAAAAGGGCTCTTTGTCGTGGGTTTATTTTACCTATGGTATGGCAGAATGCATTAGAGGTTTTATGTTTACGAGGTATAAAAATTGCATATGCTCACAATGTTCACCTCTAAATAAAAACTTCTGTTTGTCCTTCCCAGATGAAGTGCCTAAAACTCCTTCTTAAGATCTTCCAATTCTTCATTTTCCTAAAACTTTCCCATATTCTTTCCTTTTCCAGAGGCATATTAAACGTTCTCCATGTGCAGTAAGTGTTCCTTGTTGCACATTCCCTTGCTTTTTGCAGTCTGATGTAAAAGTGGTTAAAGAGAGAGAATTCTCTTGATTCTATAACAGCAGTTTGCTTCCAAGAGAGAAGTAGAAGAACCTGAAGTAAAGTGGAGGTGGGGGCAATATTGCTTCTGCAACCCCAGAGCTTTGGTGGCAGTCCTTTGCTGACTGGTGTCCTGATATGATTGATGGAAAAAAAGGTTCCCAGTTTAGATCATGATTACTTCCATCTGGCATTAAATAAAATGGCCACAGAAATGAATTGTGACTGCTGAATTTTCATTTTGGGGGTCCTGGGACAGAACTTCTTACCTTTGCATTTTTAGGTAAATTCAGTGGGGTTTTTTTGTGTAGATGTTTTAAGTGGTTATGGGCAGTTGGAAAACCAGTGGGTTGTATTCCACACTTCAGTAAAATCCAAGTTGCTGTTGCTGGCCTGATGTAGTCAGTGGATAAAAGGTCGTGAACTGTTGTGTTGTAATTGCATCTGTATAATGAAACTGTGCCAATTCTTTTCAATCTAGATTACTATTACTTCTAAAGTCTCTAGTGTAGTAAGTAGAAATAGGAATTTATAATCAAAATCAAACTTCATTCTGGACACATCTGTTGCCAGCGTGCAAATTTGCATGCATCAGTAGGGAATTGGTCTTGCTTTATATTTTTACTCTGCAACCTTCAGTGTGATGTTAGCTAGATAAGCTGTTGGTTTAGATTTATAATGGGTTCTAGAAGATGCATCATAATTGTTTCCTGTTCCACCTGACCTCTGAAGGATTGAAACCCTCTATATTAAAGCTTTGTTCATGTTCTGTTTCAAATTAAGAAGAAAAGAAAGTGATCTCAGCACTTTCTTGAGTCATGCTCATCTGGGAGATGTCGTCTTTGCTTGGAAAATGGTGCTTTTATTTTGCCTAGTGAAGAGACAGTGAAAACAGGATATTATGCATTTTTCCTACTAGCCTAGTAGGTGTGTACTGCATTCACGTAGCAAGGTTTTGGTAGCAGGGGGACTTAAAAGGGTGGCTTCTGTGAGAAGCTGCCAGAAGCTTTTCCCATGTCCAACAGAGCCAAGGCCAGCCAGATCCAAGACAGACCTGCCGCTGGCCAGGCCCAAGTCCATCAGTGGTGGTGGTGGCATTTCTGGGATGATGTATTTCAGAAGGAAGAAAAAATTACTGGGCAACTGCAGCTGGGAGAGAGGAGTGAAAACGTAAGAGAAACAGCCCTGCAGACTGTAATGTGAGTGAAGGAGGACTAAGTGGTCCAAGTGCTGGAGCAGAGATACGCTACAGCCCGTGGGGCAGGCTGTGGTGGGGCAGGCTGTCACCCTAGAGCCTATGGAAGTCCATGGTGGAGCAGAGACCCACCTGCAACCCCCAGAAGAACCCATGCCAGAACAGGTGGATACCCAAAGGAGGCTGTTGACCCCGTGAGAAGCTTACACTGGAGCAGGCTCCTGGCAGGACCTGAGGAGAGAGGAGTTCACACTGGAACAGGTTTGCTGGCAGGACTTGTGACCCTGCAGCAGAGCAGGAGCAGACTGTTCCTTAAGGACTGCACCTTGTGGAAGGGACCTGTGCTGGAGCAGTTTATGGAGAATTGCAGCCTGTGGAAAGGGCTCATATTGGAGAAGTTCTTGGAGGACTGACTCCTGTGGGAGGGACCCCATGCTGGATCAGGGGGAGAGTGTGAGGAGTCCTCTCCCTGAGGAGGAAGGAACAGCAGAGCCAATGTGTGATGAACTGACCACAGCTCCATTCCCCATCTCCCTGTGCCGCTAGGAAGAAGGAGACAGAGAAAATCAGAGTAAAGTTAAGCCTGGGAAGGAGTGGGGGTGAGAGGGGCAAGGTTTAGTTTTTATTTTTCTCATTATCCTACTCGGATTAATTGGCAGTAAATGAAACTTGTTTCCCAAGCTGTCGGATCTGTTTTCCCCTGGTGTTAACGGGGCAGTGATCCCTCCCTGCCCTTATCTCCACCCATGAGCCTCTCATTCCCCTGCCCAGCTGAGGAGGAGAGGGATAGAGCAGCTTTAGTGGGAACCTGCTGTCCAGGCAGGGTTAGCCCACCTCAAGGTCATGTGATGATTGTTTCTATTTGTATTCTTTTATGGCGTTCACAGGATATTGTACCTCTTGGTTTATTTTCCTGAATATACAAAAATATTTTTGTTATACAAACTGTGTTGTCTTGGTAATTTAGTGGTTTGGGTTTTTTTACTGCATACAATTAAGGCATCTTTACTTGCAAAGATACAACTCAAAGACCTATCAGCCATCACTGAAGAAAACCTAATTATTTTAGACACTTTGTATTCTGTGTCTCTTGGAAAGTGTGACTTTCAGAGCCCATGCAGGGTAATAGAAACAAGCATTGTCTGCTCTAGAAACAAGTGTTCTGCACTACTCATCTTTCTGACTGCAAAGAGGGATGGCCAACTCCTTTTTCCCCACCTTTATCTTCCTGTCTCCTCTGAGACTTACTGTTTCTAGGGAATAATAAATGTTCTGTAATAGTCTGTGTAAGATTTCCAACCCAAGATTAATTTGTATGTTTCTTGGCAGTTTCACTTCAGCCCACAAGTGTGTGTAATGGTAGGAAAATGAACCAATTTTACTCCATACCTTGGCAGTGCAGTCATCAATTCCCTCTCGGTGCTGAACTTGTTCTAGGATTCACTTTTGACAGATGCTTTTTAATAGGCGTATAATTCCTAGCAGTTGTAGATACAACCTTGGAAACATGAGCTGTGGTGTAAGTCAATGCCCTTGCTAGTAGAGCTGCAACAGTATTTTAAGAGTTGTGGATTGCCCCATTGAGTTCAGACAGAATCCCATTAATTTATTTGAACTCTAATCTTGTTACCTTGCCAAGATGCTTCAGAATTTTTAATTTTACCTTAGTTTTTTCACTTTTCCTTCTCTCTCCCCACCCCTTGTCTTTTTCCCCTCTCCTTTTGTCTTGCTGAGACTTGGCTAACAGCCATTTCTCTCTGCAGTGGAGATGTGCAGCACATGCCTCTATAGCTATACTATAGCTGGCAGGGAGCAGCTCATTTTATGTTGATGTTTCCTTGGTTTGCTGTTGTTAAATATATCTCTGAGGACCCTGCAGGTGGCATTAGCTCCCTATAACTGCTTTTTTTATCTCACTGGCCATTTTACATCTTTACATGGTTTGTGGGTGATTTCCAGTTTCTATAGCAGTTTGGAAGTTTAGGGCTCCCCATTCTCTTCTTCTAGAGTCTCTCTTCAGAGCAGTGAGGCTATTACTGGTCAGCATCAGGTCTATACACATGCAGACAGGTACACCCTTTTGCCTTGGCTTGCTGGTTTTGTTTTTTGGTGGTGACTGCACTTTTGAGAAGAATAGAGAAGCTTCTTCATACTCTAAAGATTCACATCATGATAACAGTAGAAGAACAACACAATCTCGTACTATAATTCAGATAATTATTCCTTCAAGTAGGTGTACACTCTGAACCTTTCTGAAGCTTTAGATACAGCAGTGCAAACTTGAATCTAGATAAAGGAACAGTTGGAGAAATTTAGCACTTGAGTAGCAGGGGTGGGGGAAAAAATCTGAGTGCTTTATACAGTGCTCATATGTTTAAGTAAGCAAAGGGATTAAAACTGAATCTGCTTAGAGCTTTATAAGCAGAGTTTAGAGCAAAAAGGGGCCCTCTATGCAGCAGGTTTGCTGGTTCTGTTGTAAACCTGTTTTCATTTGTTCATTGAAATTGATTTGGAAGTGTGCATTGCTGCTTTAGCAAGTTTTCAGCTTGTTTACCAACGTTTTTCTTCTTTTTCCCATTCTTGCTCAGCAACTTAGTAGAAATAAATAAAAGCTGTAAGGGAAATAAGCCTGTGTGTATATGATTGTCAAAAACATCCTGTGACAGAGCTACTAATTTTACTTTTTTGCCAAATAACACTGTGTGTCTCTTTCAAGGCATTCACGATAAGTGAGGTTTGGAGCCTTTGCAAAAGCATTCAAACAATTGCATTTAAATGCAGTTAAACAACTGTAAATTTTAGAGGTCCTTGAATCTTCTTTCTTCTTGTAGAAGTTCTGGGTAGGTGTGCATCTTACTGGGAGGTCCCAAGTTCTCCTTATTAATTAAAACGTGTTCCTGGAGGCAGCTTACTTTGTCACATAGATATTTCAGCTGAGCTAAAAGTAGCAATAAAGGTAGAATAAGATGCATAGTATGTTCATTTATTGAGTCTTACAGCTGTACCTGCTTTAGCATGGAGGATGGACTAGATTATCTCTAGAGGTCCCTTCCAACCCCAGTCATTTTGGCATCTGTGACTTTTGAGGTTCATGTCAAATAATTGGATTGAAACATACTTTTGTTGCTGTGTTAAAATGACTAACGAAGTCCTGCCTTAGGTGAAATAAAGAGAAATTACAGAATTGGGGTGTACTTGCTAATAGACTGCTCTATTTTTCTTTTTAAATGATAATATCCTAAGGATGTTGGAAAAATTGAAGATTAATGCGCAAAAAAATAGTTGTGGCATTGTCCAAAGGTTTGCAAAGTGGTGCCTGTTAGTAAGGTGCTCACACAGGCTCTTTACCTCACTGTTACTGTGGCAAGTATCCTCCTAATGCTGGTAGGGCATGATGTTCAAACTAGGAAGATTAGGAACATGGGCAGGAATAATACTAAATGTACCAAGTCATAATTCACTTTCACGTTTAACATAAATTTTTATTTTAATGTATTGCAACAGCTTCCTCAGTTTGTGCTGGGTTTTTGGGAAAAGTGCCTTACTGAAGCATAAACCGTCATGCTGTAGGATTTGTGATCTGTATTATAAATACATCATGCTTTGTATATACTGTTGAGAATCAATATAAACTTGTGTTTTAAATGCAGTGTGTAAAACTGTTAAAAGCATGGTGGGGAATTATCTGTATGTCACCAGTTCTGGTTGTCAGTTCACTGTATTAACTGTAGCATCAAAGCAATCAATGGTATGGTTGAAATTATTTCTGCTTTACTTCTAGGGTTCAGATGATTGCCTTGTAAAAATCTGGGCAACTGATGATGGAAGGTTGTTGGCTACCCTGAGAGGCCATGCAGCTGAAATATCTGATATGGCAGTAAACTATGAAAACACCATGATAGCTGCTGGAAGCTGTGATAAAATGATCAGAGTTTGGTGCCTTCGAACTTGTGCACCCTTAGCAGTTCTGCAGGGCCACAGTGCATCTATAACATCATTGCAGGTAGGTTTTTGCTTTTGAATAATGCATCGTTTGCTTGCAAAAGGAACCACCTGAGAATGTTCAGTGTAGTAAAAATGCATGTCTGGCAACTAAGGAATTTTCTTGGTGTGCATTGTGAAATAACCTGTTTATTATCAAAATGCCTGACCCCTGGAGAATGCCAGACATAATCCTTAGTCAAAAAAATTGCATGATGCATGAGCACAGTTGTGTTGTGAGCTGTGGTTCCTTTACAGGCTGCGATTCTGAGTGCAGGTGCTTGGAGTAAGAGCTGCAGTCACTGCTAGTACTCTTGTTTTTGTTTAGAGTTGCATGCTGTTGCACAACTTGCATAGTGGGGAGGGAAAGGAGCCCAGAGTGCTTTGGCAAGTAACCCAGAAGGATTGTTCTGAAGGAAGAGTGTGACTCTGAGTAGCATTGTGTTATTTTGGTGTTCATTGCAATTTGTTTTCCTTAAGTATGGTTTGATCTTTGGGGTTTGTTTTTTTGTTTTTTTGGTTTTTTTTTTTTTGCGAGAAGTCAATGACTTGCAGATCTTAGAACATCTGGAACAAATCAGCAGAATGTTTTTTTTTCTTTCCCCTTTCCCCCAGTTCTCTCCACTGTGCAGCGGCTCAAAGAGATACTTATCTTCAACCGGGGCAGATGGAACAATATGCTTTTGGCTCTGGGATGCTGGGACCCTTAAAATAAAGTTAGTTGCAATTTTATTTATTGCTGTTTCTTTTTATGTAATTAAGAATGATGTACAAATGCTGGAGAAAAATTTGACGAACCAAAACTTGTCATTGGCTAGTTCACTGTGTGATTATTGGGTATGATCTGTTTCTGATGTAGCTATAGCTTGTTTGCTTATCTCTTAAGGACTGAGGCGTGACATTTTGTGGAGTGATGTTGTATATCTGTTAATTTAGAAAAAAGTTTGCTGTTTGATTTGTGTAATATATTGTCAAAGTTGTTGCTTTTTAGTTCTGTTCTCATCTCTTAGTCCCAAATGAAATGAAAATTTAGACATGACAATCAGTTTTTTAAGGAGATGGTATGTGCTGGTATAAATTAGGATGGGATGTTTTTGATATTGTTTCTTTATCTGTATTACCTTATCATAGTTGCTCTTTACTGTAGCATAGCAGGAGGTAGAATTCTTGGGCAGCTGTGTGTTGGTGGCTGAAGCTGAGCCTGGAGTTTCTGCCTTCAAAGATATTGAGAAATGTTGTCAGGACTTTTAAACAGAGATTGTTCAGTAGCTTTCAAATGCTTTTTGCTCTTTCTTTTCCTTTATCACAAACAAGCTGTATCTTAGAATTGGAAGTGGTTGTTTTAGTAATCATTAGTGATTTAGCTCTGGGGATGGGATCAGTTCTGGATATGTACTCCTGGCAGGTACATTCCATTTTGTTGTAGTTTTAGTAATTGCTGTTAGAATCTTCTTCTTGCTGTGTGCTGAGGTTATGCAGAGCTTGCAGGCACCTTTGCCAGGCACTTCTCTGGTTGTCTAGACCTTAACTATTTTGATGTTCTCTGCGTGTTTTGGCTCTTTTTTGGTCCTATAAATGAAGCTGTGTCTCAGGCTGTTAATCCGCTGCTGGTTAGTGCATGCTGTAATCAGAGTATGACTCTCCTTATTGAGGGGAGAGGAGGAGATGGCTTACATGCTTATTTCTGTTGTGTTACAGGAGAGGAGTTCCCACCTTGCACCTCATTATTTTTCTTAAGGTTTCCTAAGTCTGAGCTCTTGTGGACAAGATGAAATCTTAATCTGCCTTATTTGTAAACCTTTTGAGCCTGCGTGTTTGTTTCTTTTAGTGCTTTCCTTTCTTTTTTTCTCCTTTTCCTAAGGTGAAGTTTGAGTCTATGGAATTGAATTTTGAAACAAATTCCATCATTAGAGAATAGTAGAAGCCTTGAGAGTTAAGTAGGTTGTACTATATGAGCTGGGAGATGAATGTGTAGAAATTATGAATGTTTGGATGAATCATGGAGTTGGTCGGGATTTGTCTTAGGGTGAAACTTAGGGAGGGAGAAAACTGGTGTCAGGTATGGTAGGGAATTCTCAACTATTTCCCTTCCATGTTGATACGTAATTGTGGAATAAAGATTTTCAGTGAGATGTGCTCAGCAAATACTAAAAGAGTTAAAGATTTTTGAGTAATGTTTTCATGTATAAGTAGTTTCAGCAGATGTGATTAGACAGTGACAAAGAGAAAGGAGATTAGTTCAACTGTTGTGTGCAGCTCAGCAAGGAAGTGGTCTGGTAACCCAAGTCATGCCAATGATTCACGTTGCTTAACAACAGTGTGCAGATTAAATTTTAAGACTGGAAGTTTTATACCATTCTTACCTTCTGTTTCGGAGGTATTTTGTGTGCTGTGTTTGAGAAGAGAGAGGAAGCCATTAAGCTGTGTTTCTTCAGTCTGGGAAAAAGCAAATGCACGAAGATGAGTCATGTGCAGTCATGAGTGTGTTGAAGAGGGCATAAAATGAGTAATTGCTTGTCGGCCCTTATGGTTCTAGAGGGGATCAGATGAAGGTAGCCAATTCCAAACTGAAAGGATATTTTTTTTTTTTAGAAAACATGCAGCTATGTTACAAAATTCCTTGCCACAGGGTATTATGCGTTATATGAAGATATTAAAAGGCATCACTGTGTGCTTTTTTCTTTTTTTTTTAGGTCTTTGAACTTTGTAGAGTTCTTATGTATTTGAAGTAATTGCTGCTTTTTGATCCAAGCTAAAACTTGACAAAAATGTAGCGAAGTCTAATTAAGAAACAGTTATGTCTTTTGGGACTGGGACATAACTGTATGCCACTTAAGATACCAAAATAGTTGAACACTCAGAAAAGTTCTAATTTCTTGAGTAGAACACTGTAACAGTTCAGGGAACTTGTTAGTTACACTAAGTTTTACTTAACGTGCTAACTGTAAGCTTTTCTAACTGTGGTTGTCATGCTTGTTCCAGTAAACCAAAGTAAATGGAATACTGGGAAACTAGAAGGCCAGTGTGATTTTCCAAAAGGAAGGCTGTATTGCATGGCCAGTGCATCTCAGTAATGTTGCCATAACAGTTTTCAGTGAGGTGATTGTACTTCCTTACACATTTAGATCTGGTTCTACTTCCAGAACTGTGGAAACATGGCAAGTTCCCCCCATATCCATTCAATAATGTGCTGGGGGAAAACAAGTACTAGCAGTATAAGAACATCAAGGAAAGCAGGATTCCTGTTAATTTTTTTTCTTAAGGCCCTGTGTGAGGTTGTTTTTTAAGAACATGGTGTGTAGACCATCTGGAAGAGAGGATCACTGGTGAGGTGGGAAGTTTGTCCTTCCTGTTACCACTATAGTAAAAAATATAAGCTTGCTTCTCTTCAGTATCTCTAAAGAGGAGGAAAGATGGAGGAAAAATAAGATCTTACTGCAGTTACTCAGGCTCTGAGCTTGCTGCCCTGTATCTTGATTCCAGCATGACTCCCACCCCAGGAAGGAGAAATTGGAGCTTTCAAGCAAGACCAAAAGTTCTGAGTAGTACAAATGAAGGATGCTTTAACATGCTTAAGTCAGAACTTGATTTCTGAGCTTGACTGCAGCCTGTCCTGCAAGAATACAATTACTATCTGTGATGAAAATACGTTACTAAATTATCCGGTACTTCACATGGGTTCTGGTGATGAAGCCTTGAAACTTTAGCTAGTTAGGAGAAAAATCTATATCCCACCCCCTGCTTTTTATACTCAGCACTACTTGAATCAGCTGGCAGTGAGTAAGGTTATGGGCTGTTGGGCAGCCTCGTGATGGATCATGTGGTTGATTGTAGTTTCAAGATGACTGGCAGTGCCAGCAGTACTTTGCTAACTTTTTCATGAAATACTGGAAAACAGAATTGGGATACACTGTGGTGTTCAGTGTGCTCTTGAACTAAAAATAATCAGTTCTGTTCTTAACTGCACTGAGAACTGTTTCAGTGGCACCTGGCTTGGATGGTTAAGTCTACTGTATCAGTTCCGTGTCTTCAACTGAAAATTGGACTTGGTCCCTCCCGAGAATAACTATCACTCAAGGGAATCTTGCCCTGTAATTTCTTCGTGAGATGAGGAAATTCAAAACTGTTCTTTGCTCCCCACTTATAAGATCAAGATATTATGGAGCAAATATCTCAAGAGATGATGAAAAAATTGGAAAAATCGCTACATTGAAAATGGTAGTATTTGCCATTAGAATGGACTTTGACATACTCTAAGGCTTCTTATTGCTAAATGCCTTATCCTAGTTGTGTTTTGTGTTTTTGTTTTTTTTTATCTCTGCAAATGTTTATTTTGTTTCATTCTTAGATTGCAAAAATTCTTCTTATGCAGCTTTGCCAGCAGCTCTGCTGCAGTATTAATAGCATCCCTTGTATTAGAGCCTTCCTGTGTTGATCTTCCAGTTTTTTTATAACATTGTTAGCTGAGGCATGTTCAGCATTTGGGTCAGACATATGGCCCAGCCAGGAGGTGCTTGGAGACAGGGCTCTGTTTTGGTGAACTGCAAAAGGACACATTGCAGTAGATTTGGTGTCATAGGATGAAACACAGATATTGGCACAGTTGACCACAAAATTCTCATGTTGTTCAAAGCAGAGTGAGCAACCTTGTTCACATGCTTCTGTGACTAGTGTGGGTGCATGTTCTTCAGCATTATAGAGCCTCCTGTGTGCTCCTCTTCTTTCAGTGAAAAGGTTTCTAGCCAGGCAGTTACCATGTGTGCCTAAAAGCAGTAACATTCCAGGCAGATTAATTTGGTTTCCAAATACAGCAATGTTAAGATTCCTGCAGGTAAATAATTCCAAGGATATAACCCAAACAAGATGGGAAAATAATTGAAAATTTAGGCAATTGAGGCTTTCCTGGATTTAGTCTTCTGTTACACAGAAGTTGGATCCTGCATCAATTTGCAGTGGGGAGGAGAAAGAAAATCTGCCCTGGGTCATCAGAAACTGAAGAATAACGTGCCTCAGTTTTAAGGGAGAATTATTACAACTGGTCAGTGCATCAAAGTTTTAAATTAGTTGCACTGCAAAATATTTGCATATGTATTTTTTATGAGAAAGATACTTAGTTTTCTTGTTATTCTTCTGCCACCTGTTTGGATCACAAGTTTCCAGTGTTAGCCTGCTACTGACAGACCATATGAGCAAGGCAGCAGAACCGTCTCACAGATTTGGGTAGAGGAGCTTGCTGTACTGCTTTTCTTCTTGTCTATTTTTTCCCCCATAATTTTAAAAAGTGGAAAAAAAGTTAGGAAAAACACGTGCTGATGATTTTGACATTCCTGTTTTGGGCAAGACATTGATTTCTCAGTTGTCATCAGTGTGGTGTGATACTTCCCATCTGCTTTCTTTAGCAGAAGGCACTTGATGCTAAAGGAGCTGGTCATACATCAGAATTCACATACACTGAACTTGTGAACAAAGACTTAATTTGTGGAGCTTGTATCACACATCTGTTTTCTGTGAAGAAGTTTTGCCTGAGCCACCACATGACCAGAGTTTGGTTAGGCTGCAGGTCTTAGATTAGGTCACCATTCCTGCACTTCTGCTGCACTTTGAAGTTGAGACATTGAACATGAGTTGAGGCATGAACTTGAGACTTTTATAGGTATGTCTCTTAGTCCCTTTTATATGTGAGTATGTCCTTTATTTGTGGTACATGGACCAAATTGCTTCTTTCCTGTTCTGAGAGCAGCTTTTTTGTTAATTGCAGCCTCTGTCATTTCTGGATTCATGTTGAACTGAATACACATCTCCAGGAGGAAAATGGCTTACCAGAGCTTTTTTTTGGTCCTCCCTATGAAATGTTTGTGAAGGTATCTTAATACCTTCCTTACACTTAATAAATGCATTGAGAATATTTATCAAGTGAAACAATTAACTTGGTTTCCCTATGTTGCAAGAAATAATGCTTTTGTCCCCTTTCCTTGCTTCCCAAAAATACCAATTGCCCAGTTCATTTTGTAAGGACCACAGTCTGCTCTATTGTATATGAATGACATAAACCTTTGTCTCCTAATGCCTGGAATAGCACGCATTAGAAAGACGTAAGTCTGAGAATTTAAACTGGTTGTCCAAACTAGAGTGTAAGTACATACTTGCTCTATTTTGCAGCTCTACAAAGGCTGAGCTCACAAACAACAGTGGAAGAAAACAGCAGCCTATTTATCTATTTACACTTGTTCCAAATTATGTAAGCTGCATATTGAATTGTCTGATAGTTCTTTTTATGTTAGTGTCTCAGTTAAGGAGGATTTTGACTCTTGTGTAGAATAGATATTTGTCTTGTTTAATGTATCCTGTCTTGGAGATTGTAATAATCATTGGCACAATTCTGCAGGGAGTTGCCTTAAAACTCCTGGAGGACAAGTCACAGAAACAGCCTATATTGACTGGACAGTTTGGAGAAAGATTTCTTAACTAGTATTGCTGATGTTTATTACTTTGCTTTATGTATAATCTCCACTAAGGTTAAATGCTTATTACTTTCTTTGAGACAGCAGTAGCTGATCAGTGGAGAAAGGTCTCTTACACTTCTGCCTTGGCTGAAATGAATTATATAGACTATTTTGCTTTTAAAAGAGAAAATTTTGGATGTTATGAATATGCATTCTTTTATGTTAAAACAAATCTTTAGTGATGACACTTGTGGGTGTAGTGCTGCTGTTCTCTAGTAAGTCAATTCTTTGAGGGAAGATTGCAGATGGCATACTATGCAAGACCACCTACTGGTTTGGGGTTGCTGCAGTGCATGAACAGAACTGAAGTAATGATCAAAGAACCTGATCTGGTTTGCTTTGCTTTTGCACACTCTTGAAGTGCCAAATCCACTGAAGCTTTAGTTCTACTTGGGCTTCAGGTTCCTGAAATGCCTAAGAGGAAGCAAGAGCCATAAAGAAAATCCCTTACAAACTTCTCACCACTGTCCTGACATTCCTTGGGCATTATGTGAAACTAGTCCACAAAGAATATACATCCTTTGAAGAAACTTCTATATTCTAATTCTGTGAAAAACTGAATTTATTTGTATTTCTCCTGTGTCCTTGTCCATAAAGAGCACCAAGCTCTATTTCTACTTTGTGCTGCAGGAGAAAACCAGAGTTCCAGTACACCCAGTGGTTTAAAACTGAATGTCATGGGCAGCTCTCTGTTCTGCTTTGCTGGTGACTTCAGGGAAGTGTGTTGTGCAGCCATATCAGAGGGAAGAGGGGAATGGGATTTAAGTTTGATGCAGCTCTCCTTGATACATGGATTATTTAGTCCATCTGGATGTCTTAGTTTCCTAAAGATCAGATCATGAAGCATAGTCACACAAAATTGTTTATAGATGGGCAGCCATCTGTTCCTCATATTTAATTTTATCCTTCTGTGCTTTATTTCTAAGATACTGACTTGTTACTTGAAGCCCTATTAGCAAATTATTTAACTGTTTCTTTATTTGTAGTCCAAGGCCAACAAAGTTTACAGAACGTCCTCGGCCTGGAGTCCAAATGATCTGTTCTTCTTTTAGTGCTGGTAAAAGACTTTTCTTTTTTTTCTCATCTAGTATCAATATAATAAGTGATCAAAGAGTAAAATAAAGTACAGTACAGTTACTGGAGCATATTTTTTTGTTAATAAGATGGATTTGAATGAAAGCGGTTATTAAAAAAACCAAACCCAAGTATTTAAAATAGAAATTCAGAATTTCTGCATTAATGTTTGGTGCTACAGAAATTCTTGGAAATGGTTAAAGATGAAATGTTGAAAGGAAGTCTCTTGTGAGTGCAAGTCTTTTTAAAACACCTTTCCCTCAGAGTGATTCTGGGAGTCAGCTTTATCTGAGGTAATTTATAGGGATTTGTACAAGGTGTCGATTACTGAATTCTCGCAGCCTGACTTTCATTGATTCCAGAGTTGGCAACGGAAAAATGCAACATAAATAGTTGGATAAAATATAAAAATGCACTGGAGTTCTAGTTCCATTTAATTTTTGTTAAGATTGAGGCTTCTAAGAGCTTAGTTGCAAGCAAATTGCTCTAGTTAGCTAATCTTTCAAATACGTCTGCTGGTGCATGGTTATCTGACAGCAAGTGAGAGATAATCCAACTCCAGTTAAATTTTTGGATTTCTGAAGGTTGTTTTGACATCAAGGTCTGTTACAGGCATAGCTGAAATGAGATACAGCTATAAAATCGAAATATTTGATGTTACATCCCTTTGAAAATACTGTAATAACAGTAGATTACCCTTTTTCTTACGTCTTATCTGTTTGTTTCTTTCAGGTGGAATGTTTTTGGCCACTGGGAGTACAGATCACATCATTAGGGTTTATTTCTTTGGATCAGGTCAGCCAGAGAAGATATCAGAGTTGGAGTTTCATACTGTAAATACTTTTCTAAAATTACATATGTATTTGATTAAAATAATAATTTGGATAAAAGGGGATAATACAAATAAATTTGATTTTGTTTCTTTTTCTGCTCTTTTTTTATATAGGACAAAGTTGACAGCATTCAGTTTTCTAATAGTAGTAGCAGGTAAGCACACTCTTTTTTCAGAGCTAGTCTTTTTGACCTTGTGGACATTTGTAAATAGCAATTTCTGGTAGTAGGTATTACAAAGAAAATAAAAGCTCTGTGTTTTGAGTTTCATCCAGTTTAATAATTTCTAAGTATTGGACCTTTACTGTTTCATTTTAATAATGCTTACAGTTTTGCAGTTGTTTTCATGGTAATGAGTAAAATATTTTGAATTTGCCAAAATTATGGAGTATAAAAATACTTGATATTTTGTCCTCTGAATATGTGTATATATATTGCCATATATATACATGCATTTTTAGAAAAAATTTAATATGTAAACCTTTTTCCGTTAAATGATGGATACAAAAATAACTATCAAACTGGTTCTAACAATATTTTCTTTAGCTAGCCTAATGTTTTCTAATGTTTTGCTCTAAGTTCTGGATGTTGGATGTGAAGGATGCTAAAGAAATCAGTTGATCATTTATTTGATATTCTAATGTACACTGTTATCATGATATAAATAGTTGTAAACCAAGCTCTGTTGTGCTGTGCTCCAACCACCTCTTCCTCCTCCTCCAACCTCTGAAGCTCTAAAAGGGGGGAAAAAAAACATGGGGGGAAAAACTCAAGCTGGGAAACACTTCTTCAGATAACTGTCATTGTACTTTTTCAGTATACAGTGCAAGCTTATCAGGAGTAGGCTCTGTGTTAAGTCTTGTCTGTGCTTGTATTTGCAGGGCTCTCCTGGTCCTTCAGCTAGTTTTACCCCTGCAGTTTCATGCTTAGCTTTACCTGGTGTGATAGGGTCGATGCTTATTGGGTTATGGTGTCCATGTGCCAGAGCAGTGTCATAACTTGGCAATGTGCACCAAAGGTCAGAGATGAGTTAGTTTGAAGGGGCTCAGGATAGCAAAGCAGTTTCTCCTTCTTGCAGACCTTTGATTTTTTATTTTTTTTTTAATTTTTTTTTTTAATATAATTTTTTTTGCTGCTATGGGAAGTGTTTTTCACCTCACACCATTTTCACAACATCCTGACACTGTTTGGACTTCTTACTCATAGCTTCCTTTTTTTGAGTTCTGCATTTGGTAACTTTAATTTTCAAGTGTCCTTTCTGTACAGATTTGCCTTTGCTCTCTGAGTAACTTGTTTCCCCTTTGGTTAGGTTTGTGAGTGGAAGCCGTGATGGAACAGCACGAATCTGGCAATATAAGCGAAGGGAATGGAAAAGCATTTTGTTAGATATGGCTACTCGCCCAGCAGGGTAAGTGATGTGAAATGTTCTGCTGTCTGACAGATTCTTGAGGGCCATTGATATCATTGGCTGACTTATTAAAAAAATAAATAAAAAAAGACATTGAGAGAAAAGAAAAAGGAGGGGGTTAAATTATTGCTTAAATGCGTAGTATGCTTTGTATAGCTGTTGAAATCCAGTGAAAATAAATATTTGACTACATATTCAGCTGTGGAAACTAGTTTGTCCTGATAATAGCTCCAGTAGTATTTTGATTAGATTAAAAGAATAAAAGATACTCAAAAAGAGATTAAAGATGAAATTTACATAGCTTTTTACATAGATATTTATTTCTGGGGCAAGAAAACCAGGTCAGATCTCTTCCTGAGACTGCTTGCATGTTATTAATACTGAGAGATATTGTGGAACTTGTGTGCCCAGAAAAGCTGTATTGGGTTCTTTTCATACAACATGCCAGAGCAAATAAATTGCTTGGCCTGTAATGGGTTTTCATTTGTTAAAACAATCTGAGTATTTACCAGACTTTGTAGGTATGAGAAGCTTCTGTACACTAGAACAAGCAACAAAAGAGGTTTGAAGATGGAAAATTACTTAGTAGGATTTATGGCTTGCTCCTTATTATTTTGGCATGAAGATATTTTCTGGTTGACATATATTAAAAAGATTTGTAACATATTTAAGGAATAAACTTTCTTCCCCTTACTGATCATACTGAATGGTTTGAAGGATAATACTTAGTCAGAAGAAAAAATTGAATGGTTTTGGTAGTAATCCTGTGGAAAGATACCTGAAAAGTCTAAGAGAGGAATGGAATACCTCGGGGTTTGGATAGACAGGAAGCTAAACATGAGCCAGCAGTGTGCTCAGGTGGCCAAGAAGGCCAATGGCATCCTGGCCTGGATCAGGAACAGTGTGGTCAGTAGGACCAGGGAGGTGATTCTGCCCCTGGACTCGGCACTGGTGAGGCCACACCTTGAGTACTGTGCTCAGTTCTGGGCCCCTCAGCTCAGGAAGGGTCTTGAGGTCCTGGAGCAGGTCCAGAGAAGAGCAACGAGGCTGGTGAAGGGACTGGAGCACAAGTGCCATGAGGAGAGGCTGAGGGAGCTGGGGGTGTTCAGCCTGGAGAAGAGGAGGCTCAGGGGAGACCTTATCACCCTCTGCAGCTCCCTGACAGGAGGTTGGAGTCAGGTGGGGGTTGGTCTCTTCTCCCAGGCAACCAGCAGCAGGACAAGAGGGCACAGACTCAAGCTCTGCCAGGGGAGGTTTAGGTTAGATATTAGGAAAACATTTTTTACAGAGGGATTTATCAGGTATTGTAATGTGTTGCCCAGGGAGGTGTTTGATTCACCATCCCTGGAGGTTTTCAAGCTGAGACTGGATGTGGCACTTAGTGCCATGGTCTAGTACCCACGGTAGGGTTGGACTTGATGATCTCAGAGGTCTTTTCCAACCTGGTTGATTCTATGATTCAATGATTCTATGAGCAGAAGACTTAATAAGATGTAATTTAGTTAGACATTCAGATGAGAGAGTAACTTGTCAATTATGGACAGATGCAACAAAAGGCGAATATCAAACTGTTGGACAATAGTGTAGGAAACACTGGTACTTTGATAACAGACTGAGTTACTCTGAGTACAAACTTAGTTTTAACCGAATCTGGGAAAAATAGGAATGGATTCTTCTTCATTGTGGTTATAAATGCTGAACTTTTCTGAGAAAACTGAACTGCTTATTTCAGTAAAGCACTGTTAGCAGGTTTCTGTTTTGTCCTTTTGACTAGAGGCATAAGTGCAGTTCCAAATTTGATCTTTTCTGCACAAGCACAGTTTTGTCACAGAAAATGAAATTGCTGCACTGAAAGG